TGCAGGTACTCGGAGGATTTGCTCAGGATCACCACTTTGGGTGTCTTGGGGCAGCTGGCGAGCCCAGGCACCTGGTCCCGCAGGGCCAGGAAACGCGAGCGCAGGTCATTACGCCGCTTGCGCTCCAGATAGTTGTGGTTTTTCCTCTTGGCCACGTCCTCGCTGTCAGAGCCAGGGCTGCTGCCAGCTTTTGGCAAGCCAGGCTCAGGCAGGGTGATGGCAGGGGCTGGCTCCACCATGTGTGGGGTCTCCTCCTCCTCCTGATCCTGCTGAGGTGGCTCTGGTGGGGGACAGGCGTCCGGCGGTGAGCGCGCGGCGTAGTTGTGCTGCTGCTGGTGGACAGAGATGTGGAAGCGTTTCATGCAGGGGTCCAAGGGGTCAGCACGAAGTGTGATGGTCACTGGTTTCCTCAGGCTGAGCGATTGTCTCTTATCCACTGTCACCACATCGATCTCTTCACCTTCTGCTCAAAAGGGAAAGAACAAATCAACATTAGCTGGGAAAACCCGGTCAGCTCCTCATCACCTTACTGGGGCTCCCCACAGTCACCTTGGATGGTCTCGCAGCTGCTGTCCCACTAAAGTTTGCTCATGCATTGCAAAGCAACCTCCAGAAGGGACTGCCTGATTTAAGTGCTCCTCTAATACCATCACATGGGAAGGAGCAGAATTCCCTCCACATTCATGTGCCCCAGACTTGGATGGGGTTTTACTTCTGCCTCACTTCAGCACCAGGAGCAACATGTGTTCAGGATAAAGGATCATCAGGCAAGAAACACCCCGAGCCCTTCTGCTTAGCAGAGGACTGGAGGAGCAAGATGCTGGGACAGCCTAGCTCCAAAGTTCATCCCAGTCGGGTACTTTCATGGCATAATTGGAATTGTAAATGAGGGATGTGGGGGCAGAGCTGCCCTTTGTTCCCCTCGGCTGCAGCTTCCCACCTCGGTGACTTGTTACTTTTCACAAGTGATAAACCCCATTCAGCCTTGGCTTCCCGGGGACAGAGAGGACAATCCCCCGCGGTGCAGGGGGGAAGGGAGAGGTTAAGGGGTCCCTCCAACAGACCTCTGAACCTCGAAGGCATCCCAAGCCCAGGAACAGAAAGACCTAAATAAAGCAGAACTGGCCCAAAACACCGTGTCTGTTACCACTGCAGCTTGCCCCAGCAGCAAAGCCCAGTGGCAGGAAACTGGCCCTGGGGCCAAAAGTGGGGAGTAGCTGTCTTGCTTCCAGACACACCTGTGATTACTCTCACTTTAGGGATGCACCTCCAACTTTTTTTCCTAGGCTTTGGGGGGAAAGTACAGCCACTCACTATAGCTCCCCCAAAACACTCAAACCCCACCAGCATCATGGGCAGAGACCTAACCCAAACCCCTCCAGTGAGGGGACCAGTGATGACCACAAGAACCAGGGGCCAGGGCACACTCCTGTTGGTAGCCCAAAAC